AATTTAGTTATAAAGTCGACGTACTGTAGAAAATTGTGTGATATTGCAGTAGTCAATCTTTCCCTCTCTCCCTCCCTCTCTGTATCTCTATCTCTTTCTTTCTCTTTCTCTCTCTCCTCCCCTTACGCTCACATCTACCTCGCCCCACCTTTTATACTATCCCTCTATCCTTCCATTTTATGCGATCCAATAAGGTTTTATTATTGACCTAAATTTTCGACTGGCAAAAGGAATGATGCATGCAATAATTCGTCCCTATTTTCACGAAGTGACGGTAGTGAGGAAAATCGTAACGCAAAGTGAATGCAATTTTTTTTCACTACCGTCACTTCGTGAAAACAGCGACGAATTATTGTAGTGGTTCGCCATCGAAGTCTGACCATAGCACTGCAAATTGAAAAAAAGTCAACGATGGAAAAGAATCAATACACAGTACTTTAGAAAAATGGTGAACGTACATGTAGTATGAACTAAATAGAACTTCTTAGAAATTGATGTATGAAAGGCAAATGAAAAGGTTTAAAACATTAATAGATTAAAATCCACCAATAATAAACGAAACGCCTATATTTGGCCTGTCTGCTATATGATTTACTGTTCTTACTTTCAAAACAGTTACATTTATGTTATTTTGTTAATATACTTTTACAAATGGGTTATGAATCCAAGGTTATTGTATTCTCTTTCTTTCCTTGACTTACTTATTTCTTCATCACGACACTATATTAATGAGAAAATTAACCAGACTTCAGAACAAAGCTTTATTATCATACAAGAGACTGCCGACTATATCTGGAACTAACTCGTATCGTACAACTCTTAAAGAGTGTGGTTTTGAAGATGGTAAAGCGAAGGGGTGCGTGGTGGATGGTGGTAGTGGTAGAGTGGTGTTGGTATCTAGTTATATGAATGGTAGTTCAATCAGATGGTTGTAAGTTTGTGGCAAACTGGTGTATCGGGCCTTGTAGGGGGTAGTGGCAGAGGTGTTGGTGGTGTTGACAGGGTAGTGGTATAGTGGTATAGGGATAGAGAGATGGTGGCAATTTCTGCAGGGATGTGTGAATAGGAAAGTGCACTTCTTCTGACGGCCAGTCATCAAATAAAACAAACTAACATACAAACAAACAAACAAACAAACATGACAATAAACAAAAGGTAATATTTCCCAGATGCAATGCCAAACCGAGCAGAATTACCCCCTCTCCCTTACTCAAATCTCTTGCGTTTCACCATTAAGCTACTAATGAAAATATTTCGACTGACTTACCGTTACGTTATTTGCACTAACGCTGGTAATCCAAAAAGCCCAACACATTAATGTCACCAAGATACGATTCCTTATGAAATGATCCATCCTTGTTGACACTTTGCAGCTCTCAATAATTTTTCCACAAAGATGAGCCGGTTTAAAGTGCATGTACGAGCGTCAATCGCAAATTCAAATCCTCTTCTCTGAATGAAGTTTAGGCTCACAAATAAGATACACTGATGCGTAACTCTTCAGCAGTGGTCCTCATTAAAGTTTGGTATAACGTTAATTGGTAATATACGCTTTGTACTATAAATATTTGTTTGGTTCGGTCCGAAAATAAAGACACCTTTGATGAAAAGCTGTATGAGTAGCCAAAGTAGAAGGTAGAGTAAACGTATTATCATTAACGCTGTCCAAATAAATGTAATGCCATAAATATGGATAACATCCACAAACTATTTTTCACGAAAACTTTGAAGTGGTGTCAAAAAACGTGTGAATATCTTTTCTGTTGAGCAAGAGTAGATCAATATTCACAGGCGGGACACAATGACAAAAGTTTATTTGTTGGCTTGACAAAGTATGAGCGATCCGGGTGGATTTATGACGTATAATAAAACTTCACGGGTATCACACACACCCACAACACACAAACTATACGGCGAAGTTATAAAGTCAATGGAGAGCAGATTAGCGGTGTGTGTTGCATGCCCGAGGGTTGGCTAGCACAGTGAGTGGCGGAACGGGAGTTTGGTTGGGTGCTTGGATTCATCGCTCGCACACCGCAATGCATCCATTGAGCGATACCAGTCGTGCGCGTCCAGTTGAGTCAGCGAGACTAGTCTGCATCTACAGAAAATGTAAACACACATTGCAGGAACTTTGCTTCTGAGAAAGAACCCTAAAAAAACACTTGAAACTAGATATTGGCATAAAGAAGATCTAGAAAGGTTATAATTAGAGGGAGATAAGGGAGACGCAAACTAACATAACTATATAAAATAAGCAGAAACTTCTTAATGATGCTTTCCTAAAATTTAGGCCCTACTGCCTATAATTTATGATATTTTGGAACACCCAACCCTTTGAAGTTTAATGTTAAGCCATCCACCATCTAAAAAGGAGGCCTTCAAGCAACCGCCATAATAGTACAAATCCAATTCTAAAGTCGATTATCGTTTCACACTTAAAAATGTACTTGAGATAATTTCCCGATTAGAGAGAACGCTGAGTTCCGCTCTTCCAGAGTTCATCAACTATTCCTAATGTTATGCTATACACTACACAGCAATACGCTTTTCTTCGTGTTAGCTTATCATAACAAGTAACTTTTATTTTTTGGAGCAGGTGGGCCTATGAATGCACATAATGGTAAATTCTTAATTCCATATAGGCCTACCCTGATTAATCAAAAAAAGTTGAATTTCGGAAGAATTGATTTTATCGTGGTTTTATGCAGGCACCATGAAAACCAAGGCGATTGTGATCGTGGCCTAGAAATATTTGTGGATAAAACTCAATAACAATGCACATTATGCCTTGGCGTCTCGTCACAAGTCATTGCCAGAAGCTTGTTCGTCTGTTTTAGAACTTTTTTTTTCAGTAAAAACGAAACATTTTCTCTCGAGACCGTACACAATTTTCACGTTTCAACCTGAGGTGTAAAGAACTAGGGAACCAGTCGTAACTCGTCATTTCAATAAGATTAATGAGGTGCTAAAACTCATAACCTAGTTTACATGAGGTAGGCCCTAAGCCTTTGGTTTATGAAATGTGTAGGTTGTTCTGCTATTACCACTGATTACTAAACCTTAATGGTTCTTAATGTAGCCACATGTATGTGCATAAGCTGTATTTTCAGCGCAAGCCTATTATATTGGGCTTTATAGCTTATCACTTCTATGTAAACAACTTCAAATGTTTTTACGGCAAAATAGTTTGACCAATATTGACTCTTTTTTAATATTATCATAACCGTGTCTCTACACAAAAATATTAAAGAAAGCGCACCCTTCAGATACAAAATGTATCGATATAATGATACTGAACAGGACCGAATACTTCAAAATACTTTAAGACTGTTTTTTCCGGTGTTATAGAACTTTCGTACAGAGACTAGAAATTAAAAGAAAGATAAAAATACGGTACAGTAGATGTTAAGAAAACGCTGAGCCGAGGGGAAAGGTGACGATGATGAGGAAAACGAATATGGGAATAAAGATATATATATATATATATATATATATATATATATATATATATATAAAAGTACAAGTAACGCGGGTACGCATGCAGAGGAAAAAGAGGGAGATAACGAGAACAGAAAATTAAATGAGAGTAACAAGTTATAAGAAGAAGGACAAACACAAAATAGAAAACATAATGATTTTTTTAAAAAGAGAGGAAGCAAAGAGAAGAACAGATTCAAACAGTTACTGGAGAACGTCATCTTTCATCACGCGAAGACCATTTTTAATTCTCAGTTGGTGTCACCGAGCGACAATGGTTGTGCTCACTCCAGGGCGAAATTTCACCCTACTCCTGAAAACAGAACACAAATTGCAACTATAGCGCCAGCTGGAGGTGTATGCTGTATAACTGTGGGTTCTTATAATAATGATAACAAAAGCAAACAACATTGTGTATTGGCCTACCAATTTGAGCGTAGCCTACATATACATGATTAGGAAATTGATTATGCCAATCAAGACATCTAACTAAACATTCTTTGAATTTGATGACGGGGATGATGGAGATGATGTTTATGATTATGATGATGGTGGTGATGGTGATGATGATGGTGATGATGATAGTGATGGTGATGATAATGGTGATGATTTATTTCTGTATACATTTGAAAGTTATAATTCTAGGATAGACGAGAACATATGGCTTACAGGCTTAGGCATTTTAGCGAAAATGACATGATTAGGAAATGATTATGCCTATCATGGACATCTAACTCATAAACCTGTAAAAAGACGATGATGACGACGATGATGGTGGTGATGACGAGCATAAATTATTTAGTGGTGTTGATGGTGGTGAACACTGGTGATGCTTACTGTAATGATGATGCTGATGATGATGGTGGTGGTGGTGGTGGTGTTAGTGGTAATGATAGTAATGAAAATGACGAATCCAAAATCGTGCTGCCCGGGTTGTTTTGGGAGGGAGCAGGTATGAATCAGCATCTCCTCTACTTAAGCAATTACACTGGTTAACCGTAAATAACAGAATCATATACAAAGTTTCCCTAATTGTCTACCAATGTTTGAATTGTGCACCAATGTATCTGTCTGTGCTTCTACATACTCCTCCTAGACTTAAATACAACCTCCGCTCTTCTAACGACCCCACGCTCCTCCGATTACCACGTATCAATTCAAGATCGGGGGAGTGTAGTTTCTTTTATTATGGCCCCAAAATTTGGAATACCCTCCCTTTCGACCTCCGTACCTCTCCCTCAGTTGAAATTTTCAAGAAAAAACTAAAAACGTACCTCTTCAATAAGTAAATTGTAATTCTAATATTTTTGTTTGTTATTATAATTACTCTTTTATACATGTACTATCTTGTGTTTACTATGTCATTTTTTCTGTAAAGCGCTTCGAGCAATTCGTTGGATGTTGCGCTATATAAAAGACAATTGTATGTATGTATGTATGTATGGTGGGCGGGGTGGGCGTCGTATGGCGATTGCAGAGCCATCTGCAACTGGCTCCTCTCTGTCTCCCTCTAGAGGGCACTTTGATGAAGAAACAAATATGGCAGCGCCCTGTCGAAATTTATCCCGTCAGCTGTACCAAGTTTTTCACGTGAATAGTCGCAATGCATCATTATTTGGATCATTGCGGCAATGTAGAAGGCTGAATTATAGCACATATCCATCAAAATGGCAGTTCAGTCACTCTAGGTATGTCTAATTACTAGCATATGCAGAAGCAGAATTTCTAATTAAGTCCCATACATTAAATTTTATGTTGTATGATGTAGATCTATCATCAGTTGATGGGTGTTGTTGTTGTTGTTTAAGTTTTATTGGCGTGTATCATTCATATATGAAAATTTACGCCGAATTCAAGTTGCATTAATCAAAATTGAATGGAAGCAGAAGAAAGAAGGAAAAAAAATTCTCTGCACTGTTTAAATTTTTGCATTTTCTTTTGTGGAGATTCCAGAGAGTCTGAGAGGCTGTCGACATAAAAATCAATGACTGTTTTGTGTGTATCTTCAGGCCATGTTATTGTCATGTGGTGTGTGTTGTTGTATTGTTTTTTAATATTTTATTGGCGTGTATCATTCATTTATGAATATTTACGCCATGTTGTCATGGTCATGATGGTTGTGTGTCCAGACACTTAACAAAATATAGTTGTCACTTTTGCCTTTGGACTAACAAAAGAATAATGAAGTCTCACTAGCATTAATCAATTTTTTCATCCCTCATACAAGTTATAGGATTGTCTAACATAAGTAAGTGTCATAAGAGTTAAGTTTTAAATTTAAAAGATTTATGTAAATAGTCTTGCTTGTCATGCTTGTGTGTGTACCCTTTTACTCATACATATCGTCCCTATTTTCACGAAGTGACGGTAGTGAGAAAAATCGTAACGCAAAGTGAATGCAATTTTTTTTCACTACCGTCACTTCGTAAAACAGCAACGATATGATGGCTTTAAATCTATTGAAACATGTAAGAATAAGATCACCAACTACCATGGATATGGTACAAAAGTTGATGGAGATCCGAGAGATCTTTTGGACAGGATGAATCGTAATCTCTATGAAACTATGATCCAAGTGATAGAATCCTTCAATCATGTACAAATACAGCGGAGACAAACTCTACTTCATCATCCTACCCGCTTACAATTCCACTAAAACTACTTTTGTTTTCCTTTTGAACTTTGTCAAATTCTTTTCCGATGTATACTTCTCGAGTGCCTTCATTAGCAAGAATCATTCAGCAAGACATACTTCTTAGCCCTGTAGATCTGTCTTTTTCCATCCAATGCAGTAGACTACTAGCATTGACATGAATAAACATTTGATTTCATTTCTACTCTCATCAGGATCAAATGCAGACCGTTGAGTACCTCATGCCGGACATTCAGTACTCCAACATCTACCAACAAATCAGATGGAGAGAAACCCAAAGGAGGCATCATAACGAATATAGCCCTGAAGACGCATCAAGCTACTATCTGGTTTCTAAACAGGGTCTCCCCCAAGGCACGGGTCTTCTATGAGCGCTTTGTGGATGGTATGTAGTCAGCTCATCAATGATCAGCTTTGTCTCAATTTTAGATCATGGCATAGTTTCATGAAACTGTCATAAGTACAAGTTCACAGATTCCCATTGAAACATACAAGCATTTCTATGAGTTTTTAGCCAACTTGTACTTATGACAGTTTTGTGAAACACTGCCCAAGTCTCTAATGAATTTTATCTACTTGTGTGGCAAGTTCTAATTATCAATTTCAGTCATTTTCTCACAATCAGTCCATGCTTTCAATTAACATGTCACCTTTTATTCTCTTTTCTATGTTACTCCAGATGTCCATTTTTGTCAGCTGTATTTGCAATAGTCCTGTCATATCGATTTCTTCATGAATTCAGATATCTTACCTAGTGTTGCATTAGTTACTATCTGGATGAAATCGGAATATATGATTTCATGAATGATTTTGTGTGTTAAGGAATATCTTATTAATACAAAATTCAGTCTCAGGAAAATGTTTCCAAACACAAGTTGACTGGGAAGCAGAAACTCGTGCAATCTGGTATAAGGCTTGAAAATGCTTAACAAAACATGAAGTTTAATCAATCCTGGCATTTCTTTATTTCCATTCATGATGTTTTCTTCTTAATTTGTGCTCTGCAGGTGCAACATCCTTTGTTCAAGACTTCCGATTTGTGTACTCACTGAACAAGAGGCTGAAGAATGGTGAGGTGAAACTGGAAGATGTAGAATGGAAAGATCTCTACAAAAAGATGCAGGTGAATATAACACAATCGGGGGAGCGGGAATTTCAAGGTAGACACACGTAGAGGTTGCTTTGGCTGATAAAGATAGCTAAAGAGGGAGAGAAAGAGAAAGAGAGAAAGAGAAAGAGGTAGAGAGAGAGAGAGAGAGAGAGAGAGATGGAAAGAAAGAAATATTATTATTTAAAGGCTAAATAGTAGGCCCTCCCTATCATGTATGGTATTTTTGGATCTTCATATCTTTTAGAAGCCATTGTGCAAAATCATGGTCTACTAGTAAGCTGTAAAGTTCTGTAAAACAACTCCCAAAAGAATTCTAGATATTTGGTATAAATACTGTTTTGCAGACCAATGTTTAGAACCAGTTATTTGTCATCAATTTTGTTTTGTTTACTTTCTTGATTACTTCATCAGATGAAACAAGATGTTGCCAAGGTTCTTCCAGTACTGGTTATAGTCAACATCCCTTTTGTATACTATGTCACTCTACCTGTAGTGTAAGTACTCTTACATTGTGCATCAAAGCTATCTAGAAAGTGAAGTAGTCATTACATGAATATTTTCGAGGCAGGGAACAAACCTCTTTCAGTTCCTAGCACCAGTGAACACAGTGCTGTGCTAACCACTGCATACCCTCTTGGCTCAAAATTAGACCCAACAGCAACAAGTATAATAAACAGCTTTTACTTTGTTAAATCAGTGCATTGCTAAAGACCTCTAGCTTTCTTTACACTCAGAGTATTTAGCAAGTTTTTCACATGAAAGGATGATTATTTCAACAGAGGGAGTCTCCTTATTATTACAAAAGCCACAAGGAATGATTATTCTGATGTGGGCAAAGAAGCAGCATGCACTGTCAACATACTCATGATTCTGATACATATGTCAAGACAAAGTTCTTGAATTAACATGCACTTGACAATGTGACATACTACCTGACACATGCCTTGTTTCACTGTACTTTCTTTTGTCTAATGCTTGACGCTCTTTGTAGGTTGTATTTCCAGAGAATCTTTCTGTCTGACCACTTCATAACCCCGGAAGACGTGTCTAACAACCATCAAGAAAACCAGAAGAAGAGGCGTCGTCTCTATCCATTTATACTGAAGAAACTGGATAAAAGACTGAAGAAAAACCCAACATCAGATCTTGCTGAATCTTTACAACAGAGGATAGGTGAAGATCAGGTAATAATAGCTTTATGCCTTAAAATTGTGCATCAGATAATATTATCCCATTCTTTGACAGTTTTGGAAGGCTTGTTTTGCATCATGATACATACTTTAAAAGTATTTCCCTATTGCCTTGTTTGTTTCTTTGCCATTTTGTTCCTAAGTTATATACATGTATCATTGAATTATAGCATATGAATAGTATCATTTAAAATACTGCCATGTTGTATTTCTCATTTAAATTTAAAGAATTACTTCAAAGTGTATCAACTGTCATGGCAATAAATATGATTTAATTTACTTGTACAATTCCTATCTTTAGTTGGAGAAGCAGCCATTTAGTGCAGCTGAGCTACTGTCTTTCCAGCCTCTCTTTAGTCAACAAACATCTCTCAAGTCACTCTCAAGTTCTCATTTGGTAAGCTATCTAAAAATCATGTGATAAATGACATTCTAAGGTAGTTGTAAGTGTACAGAGTAAGTTTTGGGAAAAAACTTTGTATCAAACTTTTTTCAAGCATGTTGTCTCCCGGGCTCCATATGAGTGTAACTCTGGCTTTAATGTCAAAAAGAAACATTTAATAGCCATGCAAGTTTATTAAATTTATCATCATTTCAGAAATAAGGAATTATTGGTTAAAAAAATGTTTTGATTGCATTAATAAATATATTTGAAATATTAAATTTAGATTTAAATTTGAATTGAAAGAATAGGCATGTATGGTATTTAAGAAGCAGTTAAGGGGCATTCATCTCTAAGTACAAAAATGACTGAATTTTTGAAGGCAAATGAAAGTTTGACCATCACGTCTTTACTGAGGAATACAAAGATTAAAATTGAATGGCTTATATATAGGTGAAAAGTAAATATATTATGAAAATCCTATTAATGGAGAATATATCATGGCCTTGATCATCATAAAGATATATGTTTAATCAACAATATGTTCAGGCTTTGCCAAAGATTTGTAATCTTGCTTCTTACCTAGGATGACATGGTATGAAGAATCCCTATCTGTACCAATTAAATGGTTGAATGCATAATTAAAGACTTTTCACTTGTCATACATTTTCATTTTGGATTGCCTTCCAGAAATATCTATGCAAGCTTCATTCCCAGTGGGTGTTCTTAGCAGCTAGCTCTTCGCTGAGGAAACGGCTCTCAACTCACTCAACGCTGATGGTAGCCATGGACCAGGCCATACTCAAGGCAGGCATACATAGCATTGATGAAGACGACTTGAGGAAGGTCAGTCCCTCCTTTAAATTCATCTGTGGTCATTTACCAAAATGAGGATAAATAACAGTGTCATAATTTTTCATGGTAAGTAAGTAATTTGTAAAAAAGCGGTAGTGATGAGGATGATCCTGATGACAGGGGTGTATAATATTGGTGGTGCTGGTGGTGGGGGTTAGAAGGATGGTAGAGAGGCCCAAATTTGAAATCAATTTGAAATTTAAAAATCGTGCCGGCCGATATTTGTTCTTAAGTGAGCACTTAATTTGTTCCTGTTCTTGCCCCGAAAAATTCGCATCGGCTAATATTTTCGCTAAGTGGGGGGGCATAGTGACCGCAATTTTTTTTTTTTTTTTTTTTGGTTTTTTTTTGGGGGGCCAAGGCCCGCTCAGCCCCCACTCTGGATCTGCGCCTGGAGGTAACTGGAGGTAACAGTGATAGTAGCTGTGGTCCTTAATATGGTGATGAAAGTAGTGATAACAACAATGGGTGAAAATGGTAGTGTAATTCACTGTAGATAATGCATTTTTTTAATTGAAAAGAAGCCCCCCAAAACCATATTAAAGATAAAGGTACGTAGGAAAACCGCTGCTTTCATTAAAATAAAAAAAAATTCATAAATCACATAAAAAATGTTCCCTTTGATGACTGATTTGTTCCCTAGCTATGCTACCAGCGAGGGCTGAACCCAGTAGGATCAGATAGGCAGACCCTTACAGACTGGCTAACAGAGTGGACTCACATATCAACAAGTCTTACAGGTAATTGTCTGAACATTCACTATGATAACAGCAACAGCTGCTGTAATGTTTCTCCATCATAATGTATCATTATATTACCCATGATAATGACTTAGCCCTGTACTTGCTCAACCATATTTGATTGACTGCAGGGATACATTTGCAATGATAGCGACTCTTGGTATCAGAACCAATTAATTTGATGCAGTGTGTAGATGATTTGGTTTAACTGATTGGTAAAATGGATAATCTTCTTCCTCTTAAGTTAAGTAAATGAATTATCATTGTTATTTATTTAAAGAAATTGCTTTTATCTATGCTTGACCAATACTGGTACCGGTAATTGAAATGTGCACATGTTACAGTTTGTTGTTGTTCTGTTTGAAATCTGCTTAGATGCAGAGTGGTCACTGCTTCTCCATGCCAGCATTCTTCTTGTGACTGGACGTCCACACCAAGGGAAAGTCCAGGCGGTCAAGGATGAGGTACAACCTACATCTAAGAAAGATGAGCACCAAGTATGATGTCTGACTCTATTGTCTAGGATCATCTAGTTACATCCAGATGTTTTTGCACAAGTATGGCTTTGAATAGCACCTAATACATCTTCAATTGAATGTCACAAAGTACTGTCAGCTACTCATAATAGCTATCTACTAACACATACAAATATTAATCTGTAATGCTATTTTGGGGGAGATAAAGATGTTAATTAAGGTATGGTGTAGCTGAATTCATGTCATAATTTGCCTTTATGCTCGCTGCTTTGATCAATTTCCCATTTAAGTCATAATAATATTAGATCTATACAAATTACCTTCCAGTAATTAATGAGTAGATTTTGTGGTATTTTACATCATGTACAGATGAATCAAGAGCTATATGTTTTTCATTACCGGTATCATAAATTTTACCACATTTTGATAATTTGTTGTTTGGTTCATTGGTATGTCGATGAAAAAAATGACAGTTCCCAAGATTTTCTACTTCACAATTAAGTTGTAAATGATGGTCTTAGACTAGACTTTAAAGGTACTATGTCCCTTTTGCAGCTAACCTCAAATTCTGTAGAACTTTACAGGAATTATGAATATGTCATGTATATCCTATCTGTGAAATTTAAACGTTAGCAGTGTCCTAATATTCAAATTATGCAAGGAAACCCGTTTACTTGCTAGACTTCACTGTCAGACACTATTGAGTGACTGACTGCCTTTTTTCTTCTCTGGTAATAACATACATAAAATGAGCTGTAAAGGGTACATGAGCATTTGTCTACATCAATAACCCACTTCTTGTGATGGCCAAAATTAAACTGATTGAATCTTTGTGCAGCATAAAACGTATGACCATTCGGTACAATGGTCTGAAAATCAAGACTATTACTTGTTGGATCTATAGCTCCTAAGTCGATTTGACAACTAAAAGTCGTTATTTTCCCACTTGAAGACTTTTTCAAGCCCCACTTTCTTTAGGGAAGTTCTAAATTAGTATTATCTTTCAAATGCCGTTGGAATTTAACCTTTTCATTTTTTGGGCCTGCAAATGGGACATACCGGTAGTACCTTTAAGCCCATTTCATTCTCTTATTCTCTAAGGAATTAAAGATTTCCACAACATAATTTTCCCCCAAGATTTTGATGGCATTAAAGCACTTCTGCAAAAGAAAGAAAGCATCCGAAAGAATGATAGATACTCCATATATACCTCTTAATTTGAAATCCTATTACATTCTGTACTGTATTAATGACACCATGTGACACGTTGACATTTTAAAGGGACTTTGTAACATTGTTCAGATCAGAGAAAATGGTGCTATGGTAGTGACTTTAATGTTAGATGTACAATTAAAGATGATCTGAAAGGTTGAGTGAAAACAGACCATTTTTAATGAAAAAAATGGGAAAAACTGATCTGATCGATATCATCGATTCCTTAATTCTCTTTATTATATATTATTATAATTTAATTACATTTTAGGTGATTATATAAATCGTCACAGAGCAATTAATTGGCTCTATATGCCATTCCAGAAATTTATGTGTTGACAGATTTTTAAAAGCCTGGCTTATGTCTTATTTTCATGGAAAAACGGTTGCGAAAATTCACATATTGTTGGGACAGGGAGAAATTAGAGGGTGCCGCACAGTGTTGCCTTCAAAGAAAACAGTAAATATCTTTGTGGTTTGAAAAAATTTTCAGGATTTTTTGCATGTTAGAGGATAAGTACAATAGAAGGAATATAATGAGAAACATTTCATACAAAATTACACAGTTTTATTAAATAACCTGCTGGCGAATGATATGTTCGTACATTCAAATTGACCTTCTATCATGTGGTAATTATGACATTTAAAACTTGATAACACTGTTGTTGGAGCTTTCAGTCATTGTATATTTTTTTGTTACATTGTAATTTTGAACAGGTATGTTTATGTATTTTCATGTTTTGCACTAGTGCGCCTTGAGATTTTAATTTTCAAATGGATTCACGTCTTATAAACCCTATATACATGTATTATTATTGTTATTATTATATGTTTTGTACTAGATATGAAACCTTTATTTCAACTTTTGATGAATATGATAGATATATAATTAATATGTGCATCTACATTGTCACTTTGCTTTCCAAGAAGCAATCCAAAAAGCAAAGCGATACTGTAGATTTTTATCAAAGCTCAACTTTGAATAGATGATTTTTTACCCCACTGTTTATGGAAATGATTATTGCAGGGTTATATTATAGTAATGGTAGTGCAGTTATGTGCAGACTTAGTGATTAATTGGTAGTAAATTTGCTTCAATTTCATTTCAGATATCATTAAGCTATCACAACATGTCAGTATCAGCATGTTCAATTCCTACTTTTGCTTTTTCTTTCATGAATACCCGAACACTGAATAGTTTATTTGGGGGTTGGTGTATAATGGTTATAGAGGGTTCAGTTCATGTGAGTATTGCTTTAGTGTATATCAATGATGTACATAAATCTAAAAATGAACTCTCTGTGCAACATGCTTGATATAGACAACATGAAACTGAAACTTAGAAAGTTTTCAGTACTTATGATTTTATGACAATATGATTATATTATGGGGTATTGCTGATATATGGAATTTAATTTGTAATCAACATCACACCATTTTCAATGAGAAATGATGAAAGATGTTTTGCATTTCCTTTTAAAATGTATATGACATTTTAATTGCTTGCCTTAAATGTGGAGTACTTGTACATCAATAAATACAAGAAGATACATGTATTTCTCATGCAAAAATGTGTTTCATTGTTCATATCAAAATATGTTTATGTTGCTCCAACTGAGTTTGTGGCAGATGCTTTATTTCTTAACTGGAAACCAGTCTTTGTCATTCCATTCTACATTATTTTATTCTAAAGATTTACCGGTAATCCATTGGTCCCGATTGTAATATAAGAGTTCCAAGTAATTCACCATTTACATCATCCATCATCTGTGTCTCTGTATGTTTGTCAGTCTGTCTCTTTCCCTCCATCTCTCTCTCTCCCTCGATCTCTTTCTCCCTCTCTCTCTCTCTCTCTCTCTCTCATCTCTCCCTCCATCTCTCTCTCTCTCTCTCTCCCGTTCATCTTACGCACAATTACATGATCATATCACAGACACCAAATTCAACATTTTTCAACCATTTTTATTTTCCATCTTCAACTTACATGTAGATTACATATCTTGGCAAAGCACATGATACAATACATCATTTGTAAAGGTTTTCTTTTTTATTCTTAATCTTTAAAAGCAACATTCAATGACAAAAAGACAGCACTTTGAGAACAATTTCTTTCCAAATTTGTCCAGTTTGCAGCTCAGTTATCCAACTAATCAAACAATGCAGGTAATCACTAATGAACTACAAGTATAGATAAAACAGTGTCGATTCGAGCAAAAAAACAAGAAAAAGATAACTCACAGTGAAATATAGATGTCATATCAATCTTGCTTTAGAGTATCTATTCAGATCTTCATTAATACAGCGGCATTTTTGTATGAAAGCTACAACTGTTTTTGAGTGGTGATACAGACCATTTGGAGACACCATAGATTGTGAATTCAATCCATTTAGAAAACAGAACCATGATGTGCGTCTAATTGTGCAATACTGAAGAACATGATGTGTACTGTGCAGCAAATGTGTCACATAAGTAGATGAAAGCTCATTTAACTAAATTTTTGTGTAAACATCCAACATCGTTCAAAACACTGATGACCACTTGGTTATATCATAGGGTATCAAAGTTTGACGTCACACTGGCCAAGCAGCCAAGGTCGCTGGTTCAAAACAATTTGAGCTTTAAAATGGTGTGGTGATCACACCAACCCCAAACACTGAATTTACCCTGCTCCAGCCCGTTGCTTGACTGACTTTGAGGTGAACCTCATGTACAGGCTTTGTTATTTAGAACCAGTAACCTGGGCGATGAGTAAATATGACGTTAGCACTTCAGTATTCTACAACATGTTCAAAACTCCATCCTCTTAGAGTTGAATGGTAATGCCCTATAGTGAAATACTATGAAGGATAAGCAATATTGTCTTTCAATATTGTCTTTCAATATTGTCTTTCAATTTGTCTTTCAATTTGTAAACAATAACAATCAGAATCACAGGTATTTGCTCCATCTACCACATATGGAAGATTTTTAGTTTTCGTCCTCATGTATAATTGTGTACGAACTTGGGTTTGAAACATACATGTACCTGTAATCCAAGAAATATACCATCAAATGGATTAAAATCAGACATAAAGGATAATCCTAGAACTATAGGATAATCCCATCTGAGATACATTATGAGGCATCGTACCAAAAGCTCCTTTCCTACACCACAATTCTGAGGAAAATGATAAGCAATGAAAATAACACTTTAGTTGGCAGATCACTGAAACAGTGTACTCATGATAAATATTGATTTCAAAGATTTGCTGTCAATGTTTATGATGCATTCCTTTAAACTATCCTCATTAAAAGTTACCTTAATCTCAGGTCTTTTCATGCAACCTGATAGACAGATCAATTACACTCAAGAACATTGAACGAAATGTAGAAGCTTTATACCTCCCATTTATCTTGTTTTAGTTGATTGTTCTGATGAAGTTCAGAATCCTCATCTATTATTCACAAACGCACTATATGGAAGTAGTGAGTTTTGTATTACCTCTGTCTCTTTAGTTCTGCTAAAAAATGTTTAATAAATAAAATAAAATAAATTATTTTTTAAGTCATGTGTTATGTTATGTGACTGGCAAGAAGACATAGTAAGAGTTGATCTTTCTATTGTTAAAACATTCTTTTCTATTGTTATAACTATTCAATCACATGGATGAAAAGCGAATGAACCACAGACTCGTGAACATTTATACCAGAGAAAATCTGTCAACAAAATTGATCAAACAATTGTTTACATATTGTAGACTACGTACAAATCATGATTCATGAACATTTTCCCCATGAAGGGAGAAATGAAACACTTGATTGTATTTATCTGATTTATTGAGGAAATAATGGACACTATACATCTACCGTTTCTTTGGATTGCTACATACATTCCTGACATCAAAGATGACTACATCATTAAAAAGTCTACTGGCTAAGACAAGAATATTTCATGAAACTTGAGCTAATAATAATGATACTAATAAGTTGAAAAAGGACTCAATTACTGACTGGCAAGTATACAAAACAAGAAATGTTACAGCACCTTTCACAACAAAACAAGCTTAACAATATACAATAAGAATATTACTCATGTTTGCAAAGAGAAGCACAAAATGTCACAATCGAATGAATACAGTATAGTACGACATAATTCAAAAAAAGCATGAAAGCAGCTCCTCAAAATCAAGACTGCTTCTCAGAATTTATCAAGATTTAACATGCGCATATCCAAACTGGGCTGACTGAATGAATCAGTTTTTCTCTTAAATATCTTTACAACCTAAAATATAATTAATTTTTTTATAAAAGTAGTCTAGGAAAAAGAAGCATAGTAGAAAGGTATCAGAATAAATGATCATTTTAAAGATGAAATAATTTCATGTGAAAGTTTGAAAAGTTGTCATCGTTTCATTCTAGGGATACTTCACTTCACGTTTGATTTCAGTCATCTTCTTGGCATTAATCTTGCTTCTAGGGTTTACATCAAGAACATTAAAACATCTTTGATTCCATACAGACTTCTGTATACCAAATTGTTTGCTGTATTACCAGTCTTCAGAAGGACCAAATGTACTAGATTTGAAGATTATGAGAACCCTTCAACTAAATTTCTTGAGGAGTGAGGATTCAAACCTTGTTTTCTAACCGCATTAATAAAAAATATTTAAAAAAAACACAAGGTGATCACATTAAAAATGCCCATTGAGAAAGGACAATATTATCCTTATTTACATGCTATTCTGCTTGCTTCAACCCAGTTTGGAATTCAAGAAGAAATACCATGACATACATGATGTAAATCCAATGTTTGGTGAGTGGTAGCAACAGGAGGGTTAAATACAAGGTAGTTTTTGTTTCCATGAAAACAACTTGCACAAATATGCTCAGCCACAAATAATATAAACATCTAATAATGTGGCTCCCTGCGAGGTAAGCTACAAAATTTAAGAATTCATAACTTTACTTTTTTTACTTTGCTGTTATGTACAAACAAGTAAATGCATTTTACTGCTTTTTTAAAACTAGCTTTACACATTTCCTTATTTTACATATCATACATACAGAGTTAAAACAGATGTTTTTGTCCAAGAACATCCTAGTATACACAACATATCTTTGTATTTCATAAAGAATTTTGATGAAAATAAAATAAAATAATAATACTGTTTCACATACATGTAGAATCATATTTTTTTTTTAAAGTATATTAATCTTTGAATGTAGTTTGTTTGAAAAAGAATATTATTTTGAGTTTGTTTTGGAAGCTAACTTTAATGATTCATTTCTATTTGACTTAGAAAATATATTCCCGCTATTGAATAACTCACAAAGGAGGTATATATATCTGCATGTCAGACAATTCTTTGTGGGAGGCTAGCAGCTATTTCAAAATATTCCAATCAGTTGAAAAAATAATGAGACAAAATTCCTTTTCAATGTAATTAACTCTGAAATAAGCATGTGTCTTCCCAAACTCACATTTTTTAAACACACTATTTCATACATAAAATATACTATATATTAAATGTATTTGATATATATTACATGTATATATAACAATATATAATACATGTAATACATACATTGCATACAATATATCATACACTTAGCTGTAATAGTATCATACAAAATATACAATATTATATACTGTATCAAATCATGCTTTTACAGCATTATGTTAAGAGTGCTAATGAACTTGCTGATAACCAAACCACCTTTTTATATGAATCTTAGACGAGTGATTTATTATTTAATGCATCTTAAAAACATTGTTAAGACTTAAAACGAGTGAGAGCCGTAAAACTCAATAAAAATTAGGTAACTCTGTACTACAATGCTTTTAAAATGATAATTGGGTGCCCTGTAAAACAAAGAATATATATATATATATATATATATATATTTATATATCAATACCTATAATGTTAAAGGTGTCTACCATGTGGTATATGCAAGAAATTGTTTACTGCACTTTGTGTTTCAAAACACAAGCCTACATTTACTTGTTAGTAGATAGTGTTGTCTTCAGTATCAACGATTTAAATAATTAAAAATATAATGCATCTGTTTGTTTGAATGTTCTCACATATATATACCTTAACTAAAGGAATACATGAAATATTTTGTCTTTTCTCTTTCGTTGCTGGGATGAGTTCTATTTGTTATGTAAATATTACCACCAAAACTTTTGTAATGAAAAAACGTTCTTTATGTATAGAACAGTATTTTCTGAAAACATACTTTTGGGGTAAAAATATTCATTTCCCTGAATGTAAAGTCATACATACACAAAGCCATTTCAAGAAACTCATGAATGACTTCTGTAAGGTGATGACATCCTTATGGTTATATGGGAATATGAAATAAAAAAACAGAGACAAGAAGAAAAATTGAAAGAAACATACAAGGTAACCAGTACTTTTTCCTTTACAAAAAGAAGGAGAGATAAGACAAACAGCAAGGGAGATCCCCCCCCCGACCCAGAAAAAGATTACAAGAAGATAATACAAAGATGTTCATGCTCATGAGCTCTTTGCCTTTTGACTTTAAGTAGAAAATGACTAATATTATAATTACCAATAACCCTGCCAGTTGCCAAAAGGCCTACTGTCAAATTGACTAGGCTCTCCTTTTTCACTGGCCCAAAAATGATGATTCTGAAGTTTTCACATTTTGCAATAGTGTAACACGCCCCAAATTTTATATTTTCTTTTTAATAACTCAATTTCTCTTTGATTTCATGATTTTATGTATCAGAAATCCACCTCGCATAAATTAGATTAAAAAGATCATTATTGATGACAACGTCTCAACTGTAGGCGTATCTGTGGAAATAGTACACATATTCTTGGAACATTTAATTGATCTAGATGAAAACAAATCTAAATCTTTCTTTCTCTACATAAGACACACAATAATATCAATAAATGTAATACATTACAAACAAATAATGTTTCAAAGTACATGTATCAACCTGTAACAAAAAAAACCAGAGTGATGCACAAAAAGACAAGTTTACAGCCTCAGAGGATACGAACAAACATGTGATAAAAGTCAATCATAAATAATCTCACTTGTTTTTCTCCTTTATTTGTTGAGAAGAAACCACGTGTATGTATTATGGCTACAGTCATCATTCAAACTGTAGACTCAATACATCAGAACAGCTTCTAATATTATGATTGGCATTTTGTTTTGTAATATCACTTAATACATACAATTTCAAATATTTAAATTATTCTTGCATGATATTTTGTTATAAAATGATGATTCCTTAGCACATTTCAACTCTGCATCAAACCTCCTAGCAAATAACGAGCTGGCTTGCATTACCCAGTGTTAAGTATTGTTATCAAAGAGTTGTATATAACTATTTTCATGGTTCATGTTAGGATATATATCTCGAAGATACATAAAGAATGCAAACATTCCAAGGTGCTCATCCTTTTACTATTCTTATCCAAGTTTGAAAATCTTATATGTACAACAAATTTATAAAAAAATCTTACTCTACACTATTCATTTCTCAAGTTTGCGACAAAGCAAAGACATACACTGTCCTTCTCAATATCACTACATCATGTAGAATGTACAGTCTCTTCATGCAGAATAAATAAAGCTTATCAAAAATGCTTTAGTCACTTGGTTTATAAAAAAAGGAATTTGCACTTTTATTAGGCTACTAAAAAACTATTTCTTTGAAACTGAAAACTATCATTATACACTACCATTGCACTGGATTTGTATTTAGAAGCACCACAACACTACGGATATAATACAATTGAATAGTATATGCACTGCTTTGCATACTGAGTTGTTCTGATACATATACATTTTGTAGATCTACACACTGCTTAGATTTACACTACATACATCTGAAAGAAATATCTCTTAAGATATTGTTCAAGTATGAAAGAACTTCATGAAACAAACTCTCATGAACATATTTCATACAGTGTATATCCCGAGAAATATGATAGATGCCACTGAACATCTGTAATTTATGTAGAAAAAATAGTACGAGATGCCGTTGAGCACCCATATTCATGACCAACTAACCCAACCAAAACTCCTACTCCAAATTTAACATACATGTACAGTCCATCTGCAACCACCCCCCCCCCCTTTAATCTTTGATGAAAATAAGCAATCATCCCTGCAGAAAATGTTGAGTTGGCCTCTACTGATGCAATCCATGATGATTAGAGGCACATCGATACCTTTCTATGTATATATGTGTAACCAAAAATAGCTTGATTGCTGAGATTAAAATGAAAAAAAAGAAAAGAACGTCTCACCCCGTTGACCCAAGAGCCCTCAAATATTGAGTGCATAAAACCATGTTTATGTGTCCACTGTTAATTTGGCAAGCAGCCTTGGCAAGTATCTTGTAAGTTATATCAATCGATATACACCCTCTGATATATATTACCAATACTCTGTTAAAAATCACACTTAGGTGAATAGACAGGGCAACTGGGCCGGAGCATAAACTTACCATTGATGGTAACTTTGCCATCAATGGCAATTACCATGATGGTAACAGGGCTCAACAGCCAATCAAAATCAAGGTTTCCATGGTAGTTACCATTGATGGCAAAGTTACCATCAATGGTAAGTTTTGTGCAACGGGCCCCTTCATATCTTGGAAAGGTAATGGCATTAATGTCTTAAAACTACCTAATACTGTTTAGACTCTGTTGATGTATGCTTCCACGTAAAGAAGAATGGACCAACTGAACTTCCTTCGAGTAAATAACATACTGTTAGTGAGCAGAACTATTAATCTTAAACATCTTTTGTAAGACCTTTTTGTTGCTTAAAAAAGAGGCCACTTGCCTTGAGATCACATCAATCCTTTGAATGATTCTAAATCTCTCTCTTCAAACTTCAGAGTCTGAAACTCACTTAACGAATGAAAACATATCATCAACAAAATTCTAACCCGTTGAGTATATGTGGATTGTATGATATAAATATATATGGCAAGGATTGACAATGTCTAAGAAAGTTGAAAATGTAAGCATGTTGAGTTGTCTAATGAGGTTTGTTAATTAAAGATATATTACAGTAACTTGAGTTGACTTGAGATGGATAAACTTGGTCCATTAACAAAAGAATATTCTGGACTTTTCTTCTGAATACCCACTATTTCTATGACCTATAAGAAGGAGAGATTTCATTCAGAGATTCCGGCTGGAACAAGAGGGGGTCCGGTGGGTAGTCCAGACGACAGCTCAGGGAAGCCGACACTAGACATGTGACCAACCGCACTGTCCGAGCTGCTGAAAGATGACTCATCGATGGCCGATGGATCAAGAGCTTGTCTGAACGGGTCATCTGACATAGCACCATCAGGACTCAAGGAGTCTGGTGAGATGGAAGGAGTGGCGTCACCTTCGCTGTTCCCTCTCAGGACTTGGATCTTCTTGGCTAGGTCTATTGTTGAATCTTCTGTCAGCACTTCTCTTGGCAGATGTGACAGAACTGGCATGGTCCCATTTGTGAGTGTATGATCAGCAAGCTTCTTCATAATTGGTACTGGTTTACTCGGTACAGTGCTATGGACTGGTCCTCTTGAAACAATAGTCTCTGATGCATGATTCTCGACCTTGTCACTGCAAGTCACAAGGTCATTTGGCATTGAAGAATTTGTACACTTTGTAGATTCTGTATTTTTCTGTGATTCATCACGATCAGTGATTGGTTGTGGGTGAGTGGAGGAGCTGGATTCAGATTGGCAGACACCTTCAACACTATTGACTATTGTAGAATTACTGGAAATGTTCTCATCACTAGCCTCAAGGTCACATCTCAAGCCGATGCTTTCACCCTCTTGTGAAGTTGTGCTGCAGCATGAAATGCCAGTATTGTTAAATTCCTGTAATGGGTGGTCTCTTGGCGAACTCTCCACACTGCATGTATCGGTGGATTCTCGATCTGTGTGAGACTGAACGGCATCAACACTGTCAAAGACTGGTCTTTCCTCACTGGATGAGCAGAGTCCAACTGGCATGCAAGGATTACCAAGGACAGTATCACTTGGACTGTCTACTGCAGGAGAGATCCTGTTGCCATTAATTCCACCTCCTTGGTGGACACTAGGACCATCAGTGGTTTCAGCTGCTGTGGCTTCATTCCCATGGCTTTCATTACAACGTGGAGTGACAGGGTAGCTAGAGGAGATGTCCGTCACACTACCCATGGATGTTGAGCTGTAAAGGAGAGGTTCTGGTGGAGTGAATGAGGAAGAAGGATCATCCTTCATCCCAAACGTGACTGAACTGAGCTTGCTGGTGGCTATGGCAGTCTCTTGCATCTCAGCTAAGGAATCCACATCATTCAGTGAAGTCATGACTGTGTATGTAGTGGATGAAGTAGGACTACTGCAGGTGGTGTACGCAGGAGGTGCTGGTGTCAATGTAGGGAGTGTGAGTGGGATGCTTTCTGCTACTTTTGAATTATCATACGGCATAAAAATCTCACTGTAACTACTATGGGCGGAATTTTCAGGATTGTACAGACCAGTTGAAAAGCTACTATTGGTGTAGCTGTCTGGCTGCTTCAGTTCAGTATATGTCTTACTGTTTGCGTCATCAACAGTTTGTTTAGAGGTAGAGAAGATAGTGGCTACCTCTAGTGGCGTCAAATGTGGCAAGGTGCCCTCTACAGTTGAACTATGGGACAGACTATTAACCTCTGATGATTGCACTAAACTACTGGCAAGGTTGTAATCAGCTGATGATTTCATGTTGAAGGATGCACTGCATTCGTTAAGATCATAGTTGGAGCTTGCTTCCGAGCTAGATGTTGTATCTGATGTTGAACTCAGATTATCTTCAGAACTGTCATAGCAAGGCATTGTGGGCAAGGGAACATTACATAAGGGTGCGATAGGTTGGGTCATAGCACTTTCGTCCTCGGACTCATTGAACTGCAGCATTTGAGGAATCAAGTCATGATGCCTTGGAGGGCGTACCTCAACTGGAATGTTCTCCTCCAAGGAATTTCCACTTCCATAAGCATCACATGACTTGGAATACGGGGAGGAGCTACAGCTGGCCCTGTCATCTCCTAAAGGGATGTCCACATTCCCATAATAGTCCCTTCCATTAAGGCTTCCTGAATACATATGGCTGGAACTGGTTGAGGCTTGATGACCCCAATCTTCAAGAGGGTGTGAGAGGGAGCTCATGTCTGGAGGACCCTCAAAGCAATCTTCTAGGTTCCTTCGTCCACCAGGATTCATCCTATCTTCTTGTCGATGCTCCATGTCAAGTCGCACCACAGTCTGAATAAAATGATTCCTCACCCTCGAAGGATTGAACTCTATTCTCCCAAACTTGTTCTGGCAGCCCTCTTTGGTGCATCCACAAGGAAAAGACTGCCTGTCCACCTGACATTTGATGCCAGCCAAACTACACATGCAAGTCTCTGGGTCACACACCACCTGACAGTCACAACCACAAGACTCCCTAGAAAGCCGTATCCGCTTCAGCTCCATCTTCTCTGTGTTGTCAATCTTCTTCACACCTGAACGCTTCAGTAGCACCCGTCTTTGTTTGGTTGGAATCGGCTGTAAGAAGTAGTAGTCATTGATGTTGATGTTGTCTAGTTCCTCGTCTAAGTCTGATTCTGCTTCTCTTAAGGTCATTGTGGAGCAAGGTGAGGACTCCCTCAGCTGCTGACATCGTCTGTCCATCAGCTGCTTGCGTAGAATGGCTCTATGACATTTATCTTGGGAGATCTCAAACTGTTTCAGGCTGAACTTCCCGATGGTTTCATGTCTTGGAGCCATACCTGCATAACAAACAAGAAAGAAAATACACATTTTAAATATATTTGGAAACTATCATGACAATGATTAATGTGATACAAATATTTATACACGTTGTAGCAGAAAGAGCAGTATATGTGTATCTGAGAATAATTGTCTATGTTTGGAAACATAAGTTTTGTCCCCGAGAAATATTTCAAAGAAAGAAGAGCTCTGTTATTCAATGTTACAGTCACCCCAATCTGATCATACTAATGTGATATTAAAGTTTAAAAAAAGGAAAAGCTTGAACCTGAATCTCAATTTCTTTCAGGGTCTATCCACATATTCCTATTATGTCAAATGTACACTCTGCATAAATCAAGGTTAAATACAAATTGGGACATTTCTTTCAGTTTAAAATGTGTATTAAAAGTATTCAGTTAATTCTTCTAAACTCCTGAGTAGCTGAACATTTTACTATAAACATGTCTTAGCTTGAATACTGTCAAACGCACGGAAGTTGACATTTCAGTTATTACTTCCGTCAAAATTAGTTCATCTTATCTACAACTGAAATTGTTCTGAACTTTGGCTAAATTGACTTTTCCTTCCTTTTCTAATTACCAACAGTGAACAAGCTAAACTGTCGCTGAATTGGCCAATTTTCCTCTCCATGCATAATAGTGGGAAAATAAGTATTGGCAATCATTTTCACTGCATACTTTCCATTTTTGTTTTTCATTTGAATTTACAAACATTCTGACTACTTTTTAATAAAGAAATGTCAACATTTGGGAGCAAACAGAGGATGTTTTGGTCACACATGATGTGCATCTGTTAACAAACTTTAGAGACAGTTTAATCACTTTTCTATTATCAGATCTTCCTTTCAGATTTATACCTTTTCCTTAACTCAATCGTTTGTGTCAATTGATCTATAGAGCTGTCATTCTAATATCCTGTAATTCTAAAATTCTATAGGAAAAGCCTTGATCTCTTTCCAATGTCGTCTAACATGATTATCAAACCTTCATAGGAACACATTTGCTACAAACCATGTACAAGTGTGTCATGAACAAAATGAAAGAAATTTCTGAACAGACATACATGTACAGCTTCAATAGGAACGTAATGTGACATGAATACAAATTCATTTCCACCAGCCTCCAGTAGTATTTTGAACGAATACAAACGTGAAGTTGATAAAACATTATTCCATAATTTGAATGGGAAATGTTTAAAGGGACAAGTCATCTATAAATTCAACGTGTATAAAATTACAACAAATACAATTATCCCCAAAGAAGTTTATGAGACCTTCAAAATGTTTCAAGAGATTATGAGGTGTAAAAAGATCATTATCAAGACCTGTACGGACTTTCATTCTGAGTAAACTTCTGTAACATGCATGCAAGCTTATGGGGTGCATCGATTTGTTAGCTGAAAGTTTGAATGCATTATTGGCCGCTGATTGTATTCATTGAAATGGACAATTATTACACATCGGCATAAGAGCCCAAATCTGCATGTGCAGAGCAAAATAATATTGGTGACTGGTCCCCTTTAAGATGTTAGGTAACATGCAAGGCATCTCTCATCATGACCCCCCGGGGGTTGTAGCCAAATTTAGAGAGGTCTCGATTAGTGACAGGAAGTCAGGGCTTCCGAAGGCTGCCTAGCCGGGCTTGGCAGAGACTTCAGGTCGGGTATAATGATGGGTCTAATCTTGCTTACACAATAATACAGACAATATGTGATATCATGTATCACTACAAAGGAAGGTGGGTGGGAAGAAATATGTACATGTATTGATAAGTATAAATATATCATTACAACTACATCTGCAATAAGACAAATTTATAAACAAATATAGACCTCTACTAAAGAGAAGGCAGATACATGTAAGAGGTGCATGAGAGAGCATGAGAGAGCAGGAAAGAGAAAGAGACAGAGACAGAGAGAGAGAGTTAGAGAGATGGGCAGAGAGAGAGAGAGAGAGAGAGAGAGGGAGAGATAGCTAAGGCAGCTACAGAGACAGTCTTGAAAGACTGAAAGATATATCCAGTAACCTCGAGTGACATGGATTACTGAATTGATATCAGCAAATTAAGTATGACCTGGCAAAAATTGGGAGGAGAAGAAAGTATTGGTATCATGGAACCGGCTAAAGGCTATAAAAATAGCAAGGTGCATGCATCTGTGCACAGAAACAGTACTGGGCCCATTTTAATCTAAAAATATTCTTGTAAATAGTTTTGTAATACTTTGACGAGTCCTAAGTTTCATCATGAAAAAAATGACACATCATTCCCCACCAGGGATTATGGAGAATGAAACCTGAACTTGGTGCTTGCTTGGGGCTTTACTCACATGTATGTTAACTACATCCATTACCATGGCAACAAGTGAAGACAACAAACACATCATGGAAGGGCAGGAGGAAGTGGAATGACAAGTGAGAAGGCTAAAAATAGGTACAGCAAGCAAGTGGACAGATGATAAAAACAGAGAGTAAAATGAGTTGGGGTTTGGAGAGAGAAGGGATGCATGCAGGGAGAATAGTGCATCAGATAATGATGAGTTTTTATCAGGATATGCAGACTAAAATAGCTCTTTTGGGCTGGCATCTAGGGTCCTCCAGATAAATCAAGGACCTTCAAGGTAGCATGATTCACATGGCTTTCCAGGTATAGAAGGGTGTATGCACTATAGCTAAACGATCCTTTGTATTTTAGGGCTACAGGTGACATATACGACTTCAAATTTGGAATTGGTAGTGTATTAAAAAATGAATGGATGTTATGTATTGAGAAAAATAAAATACATGTTCTTTTTCTTCCAGAAGTGGAAAAAAAAGAGCTAGTAATTTTAACTGACAATTTTTTTCTTTATACACCCAGCTCATCTCATCATTCAAAAATTGTCTTTTGACTCCTTTCCACTTTTATTTTGATAGATATCGTAAATGAGGTAGCGAAGGGATAACATTTACAGACAGGTAAGGTAAGGAGGAGAGATAAGTGTGTGGCAATAAAATGAAAGATAAGAGGAAACTAAAGCAGGCAGAAGGAAAGCAAGGAGATGGATAGAAAGATAAGTTTCCATGGCGACAGTGAGCACAAGAAATCGGGAGGAAGATTAAGTAAAGCACTGGTTGTACACGTCATCTCCAGAGACGATTTTTCCACGTCCATACCCTACTGTATTAATCTGAATACCTACATATACCTTCAACACTAGACTAAACCCTATCCCTAACCCCTAACCCTAAAACCCACTAATAACTCCAAACCCATGCCTATAACTTTGAAAAAAATTGATGGCCAGAGAACTTGTCGCTGGAGCATATGTCAGAGCACCAAAGCAACATGCATAATGCTACAGGAAAAAGATTTATACATGCTGTAGAAGTAACAAGGTTACAGTGGAAGTAGTAATAATAGTAGTAGAAGTAGTAGTAATAATAATAGCAGTAGTAGTAGTAGTAGTACTTTTAATAGTAATAGTAGTAGTAGTATATCATGACACCTCCGCAATTGATTTTGTTTAATCATGTTTACAACAGAAGTAGTAGCAGCAGTAGTAGCAGAAGTAGCAGTAGTAGAAGCAGTAGCAGTAGCAATAGCAGTAGCAGTTGCACCTGTACACTCCTTGTACCCCACTGGTATTACCCTGGTTTTAATGTGGCTGCCATTATGATGCTCTAGCATTTCAAGAAACTAATTCCTACCGGGTACCCACATACTTCACCTAGCTGGAGAGTGGGAAATGTAGATTGATGTCTTGCCAAAGGACACAAGTGCAGTCACAGGGACCCTGTACCTTCAGCTCCATACTCCAGGGACTTATTCCCTAGACCACGACACCTCCAAAATTAATTTTGTTTAATCATGTTTACAACAAAAAGCTTTTGATAAGCCTTGAATGCACATACCTAGAGTGGATCCACCCTGACTAGGGACTGATGTAAATCCTTGAGTCCTCCGGAAGAAGAATACAGTCACTCCATCAAAGACCACCCGCCTCTTCTTTTTCTTGACCTTAACTGCAGAACTGACCTCTCCTGATGACGATGATTCTAATACAACAGAAAAAAAAGTAGAAATAATTTAGTCAAAGCAACATACTATTTTCATTGCTAACAAGTTTCCCAAAATTTCCCTTGACCACCCCCCTAAAAGTAAAGAACTGTATATCGTAATATATTGTTGCCAGGAACTATGAAACAACTAATGTGATAATACTGTAAAGAAAAATTGCTGCAATGTAGGTTATACTTATAGGGGAAATACTACAAAACAAATTCAAGATACATGTATGTACAGTACATCATAACATGAATTAGCTAAAAAAATAATTACCCCTAATTTAGATTCTCACATAACAATATCTTAATGTAACAAATCAGGGAATAATTTTCCTGGTATCGCATCGCAATTCGCTATGCATTTTTGCATGACTGCTATACAAAATATCTTTTGTGTAGCAGTTTTCTTCCATAGAAATGTACAGAATTTCATTTGAAATATTTATCCATCGGCTGAAATTGCTAATCAAAAAATTTGAGGAAAATTATTCCCTGCAAATAGTACTTGTGAACTGATAATTCCACTTCCACTTCCACATTATATTGTACATGCATTTATTTGCTCCCCTGTACCCCCCCCCCCCCCACTGAAAAATCAAAACATCTGTTCCAAGTACTTCAATAGCGACAGGAATACGAAAGCACATTCATGTAATTACAGCTTGGTTCAATAATGTGTGAGAGAGTGTCACAAACCGGATATTAGTAAAATCCTTAGCCATGATGAGTTATGATTCATCAACCATACTACAAGAATACAACCGTATATTAGTACAAGATGGGAAGATGGGTATTTTTTATGATAACAGCATCCTGTAAGGTAGTCTCATTCAATCAGGGGTCATAGTCAGAGTTACAAAAAAAACTTAATTTTTTTTAGAAATCCCATCACTTGTAATATGCGTTTAAGCAAGTCATGAAAAATCGGCAACTCAACCCCCTAATTTTAAACCGGATTTACATCGATCTCAGGGACTATCTATTTTTGGAGATAAAAAATCATGATCTAAATTTTAAGAAAAAAAAACAGATAGATGCATTAAAAAAGACTGTATTTACATTTTAGGCACAAATCAAAGTGCTTTGAACTCATACTATTTTATGGAATTTTGCTAAAAATTTGTTCACTTTCCCTTTGTATCCGCAAATCAGTTTTCAATGCTTACTTTGTGCGTCAAATTACACATAGTGTAGTAGACAAAAAAAAAAGAAAAATTAAAATACTTTCCTTTTTTTATAAGTGCTCTCTTTGTTTGCTTTTTGTGCAATAAAGATATAAAGTTCATGGAAATATGTGCACCTTCTCCATCTGTTTCTTCATGAAGAGGTTGAGGAATGTAACGAATGTACATGTAAGTCTATACCGTGTATGGGTGAGACAGGTGAAGACAACAGACAGCAATGACTCAATGGTCAGAGCTCTATTTAGGTACTGAGCAAATACTAAATGGACATGAATAATTAGAGATACTACAGAAGTTTACATGAACTATTTACACTAGTTCAACATGTCCTAGCTGTTTATCTTATTTGATCCTGATTATCTCCAGATCATGTTTGTGCTTGGTCTGGAGTGCGCACAGGAGTGAGAAGATGCCCTTTCTTCACACAGAGACCTAATGTACAGTACATGTATGAGTCATCATTGTTTACTTTACTGAATGGGTGTAGACAAATCAACACTGGACAGTAGTCCCTATACAAATGATCTTGTAGGCCTATTGTTTGTATTTGCACTTATACATATAGGTACCGTTAGTACTTCCGTTCTTCCTAGTAATGGGTGGAACAAAAGAATGGCTATTCACTATTTACATGTACATGTACCTGTAAAAACAAAGATGATCTTTGATGATTTAGGTTTGATGTGATTACAAGATTTCCTTGCATTTTGTATTCTAAAGTAATTAAAAAATTAATAATAAGGCCTAATCATAGCTTGTGATGTGTAATAACATGTAGCACGTTCAGTAGTTAGTATATTATGACAATGCACATTGAAAAGCATTAAGTCTACATGAGAGTGTTTGTTTATTGTCTGTTTTACCTTTCAAGTATACCCTCTAGAATGATAAAGTAATATTTCATTCAAATTCACTCATTACTTTCAAATCAGACTTCACATTGAGCAGGGTAATACACAAATACAAAGTTCGTATGTCTTTGTATCATTAACACAAGCCGTCCTGTCAGTTAGTCCATCACCACAATTGCCAATGAAAGGAGTGAGGAAATTGCATTAAGGAGAGGGGAAGGGTGTGGTGGGAGACTGGCAAAGATAGACATAACAAACAAAAGAAATAGTGCCTTCTATTTCCTTGAGACTCAGATACAACCCCTAAATCCACATCTACAAAAAGCACTGTAGGAGCATCGCATACAAGAGTAAGAATTAAAGTGCTTTTCTCACCCACATGTAAATGTAAATGGAGGAGAGCTTTGCATTTTGCATGGCATAACTTATCTGTACATGACACTATCCTTCATACTTCAGGCAACATGTACATTACGTCTAAGCAGGGAAAAAAAAATGAATCTTCAATTTCAAGGGCTATATATTTGCTATATTATAGTTATAGATTGTTTTTGTCTTATGATTTTACTGCCTATTGTTAAATGAAGCTCGTCTTTTTTCCACTGTGAACTTTTTTTGAAGTCCTTGAAGGAGCAAACATTTGTGAGCAATATGCCCCAGCCTGGTTTATCTTTATTATAACTAGGCCTGAGTCGAAACGGGTCCCCGCCCGGGCCCCGACCGTCGAGCTGAAACCCGGTTTTTGGTTTTCGGGTTTCGGGTTTTTCAAAATTAAATTTCACACTGATATTTTGAAATATTATATAGAACTAAAAATATGGAATTCACAAACTTATATTTCAATATAATCAAATAAATATGCTTTAGAAATAAATGGATATTGTTTCAGTTGACGGTAGGTGTTTTTATCGCTCTAAAATTGAGGCTGCAAGAAAGGAATCACGCTTCGTGGTACCGATCGAGTGCGTTCAGAAACGGAAGTGGAAATAGATCTATGACCCACTGAAGACAGAGCAAGAAAATGCCACACACAAGACTAAAATATTGATCAGACTATTGCAATTAAATCGTAATACTAAAGGCATTAATTTAATTGTCAAAATATATCCACAACATAATGGTTTATCCTTGATAGTTTGATGAAGGAAAATAAATTAGAGCTCTTGAAATAACATCGAAGTGCCTTTCGTTCGTTCTAAAAAATGCGTGTACATGTATAACGGCAAGCAGAAGTTACGAGTCAAGCTTGATATGCACGTTTAAATCTACACCGTCATCCGACCTGATCGGAACAATAAGCATTAAACCAATTAAAAAACATCACGTAAGACTTTAAGGGACTCCAATTCAACAAAATTACCGTAAAATAATTATTTGCTTTGACAAATAATACTATAGATATTCATAATATCTTACAGAAATAATGATATTTCATGAGCTACGTACTCGATATCGAGTTCAACTAGCCATCATTTTGAAATGAGACGTAGTTGTCATGCATGCAGCGCAGAATGCGGCAGCTCGCAGCTAGAGAGGGAGAAAAAAAAATCACGTAATAGTCACGTGAATATCACGTGATCTCAGGCCCGCGCTTTTTCCTCTCTCTTCTGCATACTGCCCTCTACAGTCTACTGCATGACAACTACGTCTCATTTCAAAATGATGGCTAGCTGAACTCGACATCGAGTACGTAGCTCATGAAATATCATTATTTCTGTAAGATATTATGAATATCATAGTATTATTTGTCAAAGCAAATAATTATTTTACGGTAATTTTGTTGAATTGGAGTCCCTTAAAGTCTTCCGTGATGTTTTTTAATTGGTTTAATGCTTATTGTTCCGATCAGGTCGGATGACGGTGTAGGGATGTAAACGTGCATATCAAGCTTGACTCGTAACTTCTGCTTGCCGTTATACACACATTTTAGAACGAACGAAAGGCACTTCGATGTTATTTCAAGAGCTTTAATTTATTTTCCTTCATCAAACTATCAAGGGTAAACCATTATGTTGTGGATATATTTTGACAATTAAATTAATGCCTTTAGTATTACGATTTAATTGCAATAGTCTGATCAACATTTTAGTCTTGTGTGTGGCATTTTCTTGCTCTGTCTTCAGTGGGTCATAGATCTATTTCCACTTCCGTTTCTGAACGCACCCGATCGGTACCACGAAGCGTGATTCCTTTCTTGCAGCCTCAATTTTAGAGCGATAAAAACACCTACCGTCAACTGAAACGATATCCATTTATTTTTTAAAGCATCTTAATTTAATTCCATTGATTATTTTATTGTTTTGAAAGCAGTAACTGTCTTTTCCGTCGCATTATTAGAACAGCAACTTAGTCTAACTCCCGCCACTGCATGCACACGATTTTTAGTGTCAGCGCAGTGGTGAAAATTTCGGGTACCCGGTCCCCGCCCGAAATTTTCAAGTCAAACCCGGGTTCGGCAAAACCCGTGATGACTCAGGCCTAATTATAACTGATGTAAATGTAATATTCATAAGCCATGTTGAAAAAGTAATGTGGCCATATATAATATCAGTAAAATACAAGTACATGTATGTATAAATAACATCCATGCCATGAATATTACCATCATCCAGTCTTGATTTCTTGGAGGAGGATTCTTCGTCTTCGTCTCCATCTTTGGTAGTTTCTGGGCAGGGAGTGCGTTTACGTTTCAAGGCTGAGACAACTTTCTTGATCCCATGCAGTTGCTGGTTCTCCACCTTCACCGCTGAAGATGTTGCTGCTTCCGCGGTCGACGTCAAAGCCGACGTTGATGCAATGGTGTCCGACGAGGAGCTTGATGATGGTGCTGAGGGAGGTGTTGATGAGCATGATGATGATGACGATGAGGCTACCTCTGAATTCTGCTCTGTTGATTGGTTCATGATGAGGTTGAAGGATGGTGATTGGTCAGTTTGAGTTGTGGCAGCATGTGATTGGACAAAGAGAGGCTCAGCTGAGTTGTTGCTGGAATGTTGCTGGGAGTTGTTGCTGGGAGATGTTGCTGGGAGTTGTGAGTTGTCTTAATGAGTTGCTTGGGACTTGGTTCCTTTGAGGACTACATTATGGAATCTGCAGGATTGAAGCAGAATAAAGGAATAAAGGTTTAAAGCATACAATTAAATGTACATCACTATCAATACCAGTATGTAGAGAATCAATTTTATTTTGTAAATAAGCAATTATAATATCAAAAGATACACATCAGAGCAGACATTGATTCCACCCTAAAAAAGTCATACCGGTATGCGTATGTAGATTGTACAGTTTCTTATTTTTTAGAAATGACTATCCCTTATTTTGCTCCATTCCAAAAGACACTCATCCAATTCAAAAAGAACATTTTAGATTTGTTTTTGATGAAGGAAACTATCAAACCATTTTTACGTTCACATACCAAATGTAAGATGAGTATCTGTAACGTGTACTGTGCTTGCACATGCTACATGTATGCAAGAAAATCAACCCAAACACATAATGCCTCCGGCTACTTTGTAGCAGAGGCATAAAAACCTAGATCTAATACTTGTGAGATTAGGGCACATGCCATCAGTCACATCGTTAGCGTTGGTCTGCATGATAAGTTAAAACAGCTGCGTCACAGTGTCATAAAACATAAAAAGCCTATGCCTACAACAGAACTAAATGTACACATACATCCATGTGCACGTAGGCTTTACATGTACCGGTAAGCCCTCCCTAGCAAGTCCAGCTTTAAAATGAAGCCTGCATACATGTACATGCTCATGTGTTAACATGCAAGTTGACTAGATGCCCTTTGCTACATAATACTAGAGATTACATTTTTTTGAGAGAGAAAAAATCCAACTTTCATAGCAAAGTGCTCTCAAAGAAAGCAGAAAACCAGAAGTAGACAATCTATTTCAAACTTTCGCCATTCTGTTCATCTTTATTTTTTTGTATTCATACAAATAAATGTATTACAAGGGGTAGATTGCCCTTCAAGCAACCAGTAAAGTGTTGAAGACCACAGACATTTTACATAACGAAAGTTGGGGGAAACCTGTATTTGATAAGGCTGCAAAGGCACATAAAGAACTCTATACATGTATATCTGTGTTGTCTAACAAGTGCATAATTGTGATCATGGATGATTATGGATGCGTCCAAATTGCCTTGCACTGGTGTATATAGATGTGAGCATGCAGATCATCGCAAAATCCATTTATTCAGATTCAATGCCTGGCAACATCTTTCATGTCCGCCCACGGCCCATGCATGTGTATACCTGTTCTGACCGAGATATCATTCAGCAACTGACATAATGGAATGTGCTATGACGGCAGTCGTTGCCATGGAGACCACCTGATTTGTTAGGCAAGGATCCCCCTCACTTTCAATTGCAGCATTATGCAAACATGATTATTTAGTAATAGGGTAGGCTGCATGTGTTGTTAGGTAGGGTGTGTGTGTCTTCTTTTTATGAACATCTTCTTATATAGCAGTACAGGTTATCTCAAGAAGTACATTTCATCTAAACAAACTAACATGAAGACATTTAAGTCTGTTCATTTTCGTACTGTACCCACACCTGAAATTTCGAGAAATAGACAAAGAAATGCAAAATAGGTAATCTTGCGTCAATGTCATAAAATCAAATCTGATGAACAATGGGTATTTTAAAACAGATGATAAAATTACAAACAAAAGACAATAAAAAGAAGAGGTGTCATATAAACATGTAGATTTCATTACCCTTGAAATATTTGAAATAAACAATAACTTTGTTCTTACATGTACATGACTACACGTAATGTACATTTGTAAGTCCATTCTCTAAGATGGTTTATTACTGTTTTTTATATTGGGATTATCACCCAAATAAATAAATAAATAGACTTTATTATGTACATATGCCATTGTTTTGTCTGTTTGTTTTAGGGGGTAGTTGGTTAAAAAAACACCTTCAATGTGAAATTTCTTTCATCACCCTTTTTAAATGCAATAAATGTACAGTGTAGCAAACAATGATAAACATATTTTTTACCCCATCTTCCCATAAATTCCCAAGAATAAATACATGTAGGAAAAAAATATTGGTATTTGTCTACTTGATTTTAAATCTGCATTTTCTTATTGTAGTTCATCAGACACCACCCATAGCCATGAAGGTGAAATCGACATTCCCCCCCCCCCCCCGCCCCCCCGTCAGAGACATACCAGTACGTATTGACCACATTTTCATCAAAAATAAGGTGTATTTGGGATGTACATGTACATGTACACATTTAATCATGCCCATACAATCTTCAAGTTCAACTGTACCTGGCTACATTGTACATGTTTTATATCTCAAGTAGCCTCAGGAATACAAACATACGTGTACAAACAATCCAAATTATCCCATTTGATTTGATTTTGAACATATTGGATTTCATAACAACATCCATCTGCATTTTATAAATACACTGTACTGTATATGCGTTTATAGCTTGGTCTATAGATAACACACACCACTTTTCATGCGCAAGCATACAATGTACATGTACAAGGGCATGTAGTGCACACCAACATGAATGCATCACAATTGGGAGGATTGGCGCTCATGCATTCTGCGCATCTCGGCTTTCTGCTCACGACCCTCTCTTGGGGCTCCCGTTAATTGTTTGAGGATTCTCGCCTGGAAATACGCATCGTGCCAGTAATATCATTAGCATGAGCGCCGGTGAGGTGCACTGGATTGAGTCAATGATGCAGGCATGCTGTGAATGGAGAGCCTGAATAGAATGCAATCTCATCAACTCATTTTTTATCATAGTCATGCCAAAATTACATTTATATGTACATGTATGCCTGTTGAAGCCAAAACAGAACAGAAATGAACGTGGAGGCCTTCATGTACTTGTCTATTAAACTATCTGAAGGACGATGGAATAATCCATCCATGTTGCCAGATGCTGGTCGCCAATCACTCCCCCCCCCCCAAAAAAAAAAACAGAAAGATAGAAATTACTTAGTACAATTCATACCAGAGGCATGATGTCTGAACATAACTAGACATACATGTACAAGGCTTTCTTTTAATAGGTAGATGTATTTCAATATTTTCTTCCATTAAAATTAGTTCAACGATCGATAAAAAGACATATCTATGACCTTGGTCCATCTTTCTGCTGCAATCCAGGGGCATCTTGAAATGTAAGGCCAAGAGACAACTATTTACACAAAGGCTTAATTACGTCTGCTCTACATTACATGCTGCCAATGTAGGTCAAGCATGAATGAGCCGAGATGAAAATATTTGGATGTCTGACAGCCTGACAGGCAATGTTTAGTCTCCTGTGGCAGACCTTGGTGAATAACTAATCTGCATCGGATGTTTGCATAGCTGATAAGGCTGTTCTTGACTTGTATTAAAAGTACAATGCACCTACATGTTAAACATATGTGTACAAGTGCATGTAGGCCTTCATTGTATTAAAGTATTGGGCCAAACAGTACTGTACATGTACTGTACATGTAAATAGAAAAGAATAGAATAAAATATAATTCTAATCATTTTCACATTGTTTCTTAGATTGTTTCCCCCTATTATTTTGCATACATGTACATTGTAGGACTGAATGTAGTATAACATTTAACTTCTGGAAGGGAAAGTCATAAGCAGATCAGTAGGTAACATTGACAATGTAATAAATACAGGAAATACATTTTCCCCCCTTTCTTTCATCTTTGTGTTTCATGTATAATAATGTGATGTGGCCTATACACTGTACATTCATTTTCAACTGAAATTGTAGTTTTCTTTGCATCAAATATAATGTTTTTTCATGAGCTTAATCTACATTTGCAAATTCAAGAAGTTTTTATGGTTGTACAGGACTTTGAAACCTTTAAAAGGGCAGCTTATAAAAATGTTTCAAAACATAATGAAGCAGGGAACAGACAGAAATCTAGATTCAACTAAAGCTGACATTATCAGTAAACGCAATTATTGCTTAAAGGACAGTCACCTTTTCCATAACAAATACAATATATTATTTTGTCAACAAACTAATTTTCACACAATGTAGGAACACATTTCACCTTTAATATCTTGTCATTTGCAGTGGAATACTCTGTAATACATAAGAGCAAAATAAAGGTGTTTACACTTGTAAAAGACAGAGTATCTACAATGTACTGTACAGTACATGTACATATATACTGTACATACTGTACAGGCATGAAGTCTGGATCAATGTTTTTAATCAGGATCAGCAAATCATTCCAAATGCTGGAAATGTTATCTTAAATCCTAAAGTGACTCAGAACACAAGTGTCACATCAGCTTACATGAACATTGTATAATATATGCAGTGCAGTGTATGTATATTGTAATTCAAATAACAAATTTAAAATCTCAGCATACAGTACATGTATTGAACATGCACTGTTGAGGGCTTGGGGAGGAATATAAATGGAGGAATATAAATGGAGGCTACATGTACGCCTTCCATGCATCATCCTATAATGTTGGTACATATACATGTACACATTGTACATGTACATATGTTATTCATCACCAAAGAGGGTGATAGGAGCACATACAGAATACATCTGTCATAATTTCAGTCTTCAAACCTGTAAGTGTGTATCACATTCTATAGGATATGTCAAGGAGATAAAGAACTGCTCATGATTATTCAGTGACCTTTACAGAACTGTGGGCGGGTGTTGATTTCGTCACCAAAGGCTCTTTAATAGAATTCCTCAATTCCTGTGTTTTCATGCTTCAGATTTTGACCTCACACGGTTCGTTCCTACATGTACTCTGCTGACTCTATGCCAGTATGTCATGGTCAGGGATCACAGTTTGCCCGGCAAATAAGCATTCATGTTTTGATAAAAGCATATCACCATCAGATTTAAAACATGCTCAAAGAACAATGATTATGAAATCCAATTCTGATATTTTCTACAGGTACATGTATTTGCAAACACAGCTACGCACCATGTATGTATTTGCAAACACAGCTATGGCTATGCAAACAGTTCACGTACATGTACAATGTACATGTACTGTATGTACATATACAATGTACATCATGAAAGTACATCTGATTAAAACA